TCCGTGATTTTCCGTTCAGCCCGAGCGGACCCTAATTAGGGTCTGATAGGGTTTATAGAGTTAACTGACTGTATGTGTCATTAAGGAAACGATGGCAATGCAGGATATGATTCATCAAGAATGTATGAAAAATGTATTATTGCAATTAGTTGTACAGGTTAATCATGTTACTCACGGTGTTGCCATGGTGATGCTCGCTACAGAGAGCTGTGGAGATCAAACTGATGTGGTGGTGTCTGGAAAAAGAAAGAATCTTTGGTTACTGCTTCATCCACCTGCTACCCAACCAGAGGTTTCTACAGGATGAAGCTCAGCCTGAACCAGGCTGTAAGACATGCAGAGGCTTTAAAAGACCATTCCACTGGACCCAGAGCCCATGTAGCTGCTTCACCTGCTGATTATTGTGTGAATGCTGATTCAGCATTCACACTCTTGTTATCCAAATCTTTATTCTGATTTCTTCTGTAACATTTCAAACATCATGATCAGCTCTTCAAGGACATTACTGCTTCTATTCAGAATTTTTCTAACCTTCATACTTTTTAAATTATTCAGCGTATTTCAATAAATATTCCTATTGAAATTAATGGACAAATCTTCAAATCTTCCTGAAAAAACGTAGAAGAAATCATCTGGGCGTAGTATTAGGTACTACGTCCAGATGATTTCTTCTACCTTTATTTAGCATACTACAACCTGGATGACTGAGAATTTGCATGGACATATTCAGATCTTCCTCCTCTTTCAGCCTTAATAACTTAGTGTTATGGTTGCTCTCGTTTTTCCATTTTCATGCCTTTATTTTTTGGTTGTTTTTTCTGCTCCATTTCACCTCACCTGCTGTAGCTTTACCCCGGTCCTCAAATCATCATGCATTACATTCACCTGTCCCTCATTATTATATTAGATTAGATTCAACTTTATTGTCATTACCTATGTACAAGTGAAATGCAGTTTAGCATCTAACCAGAAGTGCAATAACAGCAGTGAACAGTGTGCAATATCTACAGTATGAACAGTTGGAACTAATTTACAGATGGATATGTACAATTGATATTTACAGTAAGTTATGTAGGGTAATGTACTATGATTCAAATTACAAGTAATGGGCAGGTACATTAATCTTATGGAACACTAGTGCAATGGGATGAGATGGAATGAAACAGTACAGCATAAGAAGATAAGTTACATGACTGAACAGTTCAATGGATGTAAATAGTGTAAAGATAAATATGGAGTATCTGTATATGAACAGTGTTCAAATGAATAGAGCAGTATCTTGTGATCCTGTGTTTGTCTGCCGCATGTGATGTTGCAGGTTAACCAGTGGATTAACGACCCATGTTATTGTTGATAATATGCTACCTGTTGGGATTTATTTCAGTACTATGGGACTGTATGTGGTCATGTGGGGGAAGACGCAGTGACCACCAGTTGGATTTACCGACCTTAGAGCTAATTGAAAGGGAGAGATGTTTCCACTACTCAGTGGGACTTAATGGTTAGTTTAAAAAAAACAAAGGTAGTGTGTCTGTTAATGCCTTGTTTCTGTAAGTTAGAGAGAACTGTAAGGCTGGAGAACTTACTATGACTGTATTATGCCAGTTAAAATGTGGGGTTTCTCAGTTACCTGCTTTGTTTAGAGTGTTACATTTTTCTTTTCATCTGTACATATAGGAGAAATTCAAATCAGTTAAACAGTCCTCTCCTGTCTTCACTTCTCGTGCTTCCAACAAAAGAATTGGCTTAATTTCTAACAGCATCCTCACTAAACTTTTACATAGACCACTCTGTGATACATCAAATAGTCAAAATAATATAAAGTCAAAATAATTCATTGTTTATTTTCACTCAAAAACAAGGTATACTTTTATGTAAACAAGGTCTATTGGCCCTAAATTCTAAAATGAAGAAAAAAATTTGTGGTAATGGGTTGGACTGATGTAAGAGTAAAGATGTAACACAGAACTGATTGACAATTTATACAATATGATTTAAACACCAGTAAAACCAGGTGGGGTCATTTTGACCCCAGAGGACAAAAGGTTTATGGCAATTGGGAGGACAAAACGAGGGTTAAAGTGAAGAACACAATTATGCATCAGTCATTATGATCCAATAGTATCATATACGTTAATGTGAAATGGGCCATCCTCCAGAATGACTATTGGTACTTTGGGTACTTCAAGTAGATTTAGATGCTGATACTTTGTACTTTTACTTGAGTAACATTTTGAATGCAAGACTTTTCTGTGTAAGGGGTATTTTTGTGTGGTATTTATACTTTTACATAACAGATCTGAGTACTTCTTCCACCACTGATCAATAACCCTGATCAGGTGTTCTGGTGGTTTTTGTTTGAGTTGATATTACAGTGCCTCATATTGTACTGCAGCTTTTTCATCCTGAAAATAACGATGAGCTGGGTGTTGTCTCCACCACTGCCCAGCTGCAGAGTCTCAGCAGCTGAACTCAGATCAGTTCACTGATGCTGCATTTATGTCTCAGTAAAACGGGAAACATTGAGCTTCCCTCAGAAAAAAAATGTTAAATTCAACTTTAAAAGGTAAAAATCTGCAACATCTTGTTTAAACCAGCTTTAACCAGCTGTGGGCGACTGTGGTTTAGTGGGTAGAGCAGTCGTCTCCCAACCGAAGGGTTGGTGGTTCGAATCTCAGTGCCTGCAGTCCACACGTCGAAGTGTCCTTGGGCAACCCCCAAGTTGCCCCCGATGGTTAGAGCCATCGGTGTGGCAGCTGGAAAACTGTCTTCAAACTATTTAATGGACATAAAGTTTTCCTTAGTAACTGAACATTTATTTTTTTCAAACCAACAAACATCTGACTGGCAGGCCCCAGACTGTCAGGATTGGCAACAGAACTTCAGCCAGCATTGTTACAAACACTGGCACCCCACAGGGATGTGTCCTCAGTCCCATCCTCTACACCCTGTTCACCCA